GGAACCAGTCTGTTGTTCCATGTCCAGTTCTAACTGTTGCCTCCTGACCTGCATACAGGTTTCTCAAGAGGTAGGTGAGGTGGTCTGGTATTCCCATCTCTTTCAGAATTTTCCACAGTTTGTTGTGATCCACACAAAGGCTTTGGCATAGTCAAAAAAGCAGAATAGATGTTTTTCTGGAACTCTCGTGCTTTTTTGATGATCCAGCGGATGTTGGCAATTTTATCTCTGGTTCCTCTGCCTTTTCTAAAACCAGCTTGACCATCTGGAAGTCCATAGTTCATGTATTGCTGAAGCCTGGCTTGGAGAATTTTAAGCATTACTTTACTAGCGTGTGAGATGATTGCAATTGTGCAGTAGTTTGAGCATTCTTTACTATACTTGGTGATAACAAAGAATGGATATAATTGAAAGATGAGGGCAAATTATCTGTCAACTTGCTCTTTTGAAGATGTTCATCTAAAAACAAAATCATTTGCAGGAGAAGAAATGATGTCTGACAGTTGCTAATAACAGTTGTTCGGGGGCCAGGAGATTGGAAGCAAAATCAGTTCAGAAAGAAATTTTTCTCTGAAAACCATTACTCACTGCCCTGCTGCCAAAGTCCTTGAGAGATGGAGTTTTGCTGCTGGAAAACTGTTTACATGCAAGGATACACAGGGGCAAAATGTCATGGGAGGCAAGCAAGTCTGGAGTCTTCAAAGTCAAAGATAATAAACATACCTTCTTTCAAGACTTTTAAGGAGACACAAGTGGGCCAAGCAAACTCCCACTTTGGATGCAGATTCACAACATCTTGTGGCAGATGGAAATAGCACTAGGGCAGGGGTTGGCTCAAAATGAAGTAATATTAGGTTTATCACAACTAAGATAGGCAACACAGGGTTAAGGCCTAGAACAGTACTTCAAATGTGTCTGAACTAGATTTAAAATTGAACTGTCATTGAGGAGAGGGTCAAGGTCAGAAGCAACATTCCAGGGAGACCACTAAGAACCAAAATGAGAAAAACACTTTTTTTTCTGAAAAATTCATGAAGTTTAATGAGTTGCCACTGATGCAATGAAGAAAACATTCAGTGATGTGACTAGTAGTGGACTTAGGGTCTAACCTGTAGACTCCCAACTATGAGCTGAGCAGGTATTTCATCAGGAAGTATTTGGTATTTCATCTCTTTGCAACCCCACAGACTGTACAGTCCATGGAATTCTCCAGGCAGAACACTGGAGTGGGTAGCCTTTCCCTTCTCCAGGGTATCTTCCCAACACAGGGATTGAACCAAGGTCTCCTGCATTGCAAGCAGATTCTTTACCAGTTGAGCCACAAGGGAAACCCATTTCATATTTAATGAAATGCATTTGTAGCAAGTCAAATTCTACAAAACATTGTTAAGATATTCTCCCTGGAAATAACAGAGACTTTTGTCCTAAATTTGACTACTCATATTAAGCAATCTGAAAAAATATGGTGAGACTTGGCACCCTCCAAAGCATTGCTTGGAGAGAAGAGAATGCTTTTAAATCTCTTAGGACTCTGTAGAACTCTGAGCAAAGGTACAGGCCTCTAGGCTTCCTGGAAGCTCTGTGTCTAGGCAAAGTGCATCTCACTTTCCCCTTTTCACTCACCATCAGAAACTAAAATTCTTCATACATCACAGATGCAAATATGATTCACACCTTTCTTACTGAGCAATCACAGCAATTGGACTTTGAAATTTAACTTAGAGGAAGAGATAAGTCTATTTTTAATCAGAGAAAAACATGAAATGGAATCAAAGTCACTTCCCAGGTCCTTTTGAATGTGGACTGAAACTACTCTTGAGGTGATCATTAATTTTATGGGAGTGATATATACTAGAATCAACTTCCATGTCACTTTTTAATCAATCAATTAATCAGCAAGTCTGAGGGGAGTGTGAATGCTTTGTGTTCTCTCTGCTTCTCTATATGGATACTGGAGAACAGTGTCACTGTGTCTTAAGTGAATGATCAGGGCTGGATTCAAGAAATTTTAAACACAGAGTTGAGACTATCAGGCAGAGGAAAAGAAATGCACAATGACTTAACTGCTTTATGGAAGGAAAACATGCAGTATCTGTCTCGGCGCCCTCATTTGATGGTATTTCTTAAGGACTGTGCCAAACTATGGTATGTTTGAGAAAAATCTTTGAATTTAACTTTTTTTTCTGACCAACGTGTGTGCAACTAAAGAAAAGCACTCAGAAATGCATTTTGTCTGTAGTTGATTCATTTTGTGTATTTTTCTTGAAATCATTATATATTGATATTTTTGCAAAAAAAATGTATTTTTTGAAAACCCTGATTTAAGATTATTACACTTTAAAACAACTTTCTCTTCTCAAGCCTATTTCACATACCAAAGCAAAAATTTTCTTGCACAAGCATCATTTCGTTAGACTGGAAAGGCTTGAATTTATAAGTTGTATTACAGAAGCATTTAAACTTTGAAATTTAACCATCTTACTTGTTGTTAAGACTATAATATCCCCATAATTAGGTTTTTAAAATAATACTTGCTGGTTTTCTTTTCTTTTCTTTTTTTTTTTTTAAAGCCAGAACATTTATTGCTCAACTAATTGTTGAAATCCTTAGGATGAACTGGATGCTGCAACAGCCGCTCGCTTGGGTTTAGGTGTTGTTCCTTCACGGAATCCATGCCTGAATCTGTGGTATACAATTTTTAGGTGCCTCATTCGACCAGTCCCGGTGGTATTTTGTCTTTTAGCTTTAGCACTCCAATTATACTTTCTCTTTTGCTTGGCAGGGTAGCCACACTTGCCACAGGTCGACTTCTGAAGGTGGTAGGCCTTAGAGCCACAGCGGCGGCACAGCTTGTGCGTCTTATTCCGACGCTTTCCAAACGATGACGTTCCCTTCGTCATTTTGCTTCTGCCGCCGAGACCAAAGAGCTGGTTTTCTTTAATGTATACAACTATAAAGAAGATACTAATAATGTTCTATAAACCTTCCCATAGATAACATCTGATAACATGTTTTTAAAAAATTAATTCAGGTACATAATTCAAGCATTAAAGAAAGTTGCAACGTGAAAGTAATATTCTCCTTCTTCATCTGAGCATTCTTACCCTGTTATTGGTAGCTTCTTACAGTTCTTTTAGAAAACATTTTGCTCATATATCAAAGCATGCATTGCACAAAACATGCACACACGCACATATATAAATTTTTTTCACAAAGGGGATCACACGATTAATACTCAGAGTACCTCACCTGCCTTATTTTCACATGAGATGTCTTGAAGAACGTCCTCTGTTAACGCAAATAGGTCAATTTTAAAGAATTCTTTTAACAATTTCAAAGAATCCGGTTCTGTCAGATGCTGTATTTACCCAATATATTCTACAATATATTTCAGTAGCCCTTTATTGGGCTTCCCAGGTAGCGCTAGTGGTAAAGAATCCACCTGCCAATGCAGGAGACATAAGAGAAGCAGGTTTGATCCCTGGGTCGGGAAGATCCCCTGGAGGAGGGCATGGCAACCCACTCCAGGATTCTTGCCTGGAGAATCCTGTAGAGAGAGGAGCCTGGCAGGCTACAGTCCATGGGATTGCAAACAGTTGGACACAACCTAAGCAACTTAGCGTGTATGTAGTCCTTTATTGCTTGGATTTAAGTAGTTTCCAGGGTGTTTTTTAATTAAAGAAAATGCTGACTGGAGATCTTTTCATAGCTAGACTTTTAAAATATACATATGTATGTGTGTGTGTGTGTGTGTGTGTGTATAATAGCCAATTAAATTCCTAGAAGTAGAATTTTTTAGAAACTAAGTTTTCTTTTTCAGTCTATTCTAATCTTTTATGTTGCCTACAATTTAGAGGAAGGAAAGCTTTCTAATTTTGCTTCGGTTAGGAAGAATAAAACAGGAAAACATCAGTGACAGTGTACTGGCCTAGATGCTTTGATTCATTTCAAATTCAAGTGTGGAGGTGCTTTTCTTGAAGAGATGCTTAGAATGAGATCCAAAATAATGTTCTTCTCATTCCAGAATAAAACAGAAAAAGCTATCAAGTGAGTAGCATCTCTCTTACTGTGGAGTGAGTTCATTAAGAAATATGACCATTTAAAAATTGATACCTGGGTGAGAGGAGCCAAGATGGTGGAGGAATAGGATGGGGAGACCACTTTCTCTCCTACAAATTCATCAAAAGAGTAACTGAACGCAGAGCAAACTTCACAAAACAACTTCTGATCGCTAGCTGAGGTCATCAGGCACCCAGAAAAACAACCCATTGGCTTTGAAAGGAGGTAGGACAAAATATAAAAGATAAAAAGAGAGACTAAAGAGCTAAGGATGGAGATCTGTCCCGGGAAGGGAGTCTTAATAGAGGAAATTTCCAAACACCAGAAAACCCTTGCACTGGCGGGTCTAGGGGAAGTTTTTGAATCTCGGAGGCAACCTGATTGGGAGGAAAATAAATAAAACCCACAGATTACGTGCCTAAAAGCAACTCCCAGCAGAAAAGTACCCCAGACGCCCGCATCCGCCACCAGCAAGTGGGGGCAGAATGGAGAGGAGCGGGCTGCATTGCTTAGGGTAAGGACCGGGCCTGAGTGCCCTGAGGACAATTGGAGGGAGCTTTTGTGAATTACCAACTTAAACTGTGGGACAGCAAAAGAGAGAGAGAAAATTAACCGGCCAGAACACACGGCCGGCTGTTCACAGAACAAAGGGACCGAGCAAGTCCAGAGAAGAGCTCGCAGGCCGCGGACCGCCCCAGCCCCGACGGAGGCAGGGGGGAGGGGAAAGGGGCAGGCTCAGCCCCAAGGACCACATCCCCTACTGCACTGCAAACAGGCCTCCAGTTTCTAATCAGACCTCCTGAGATTCTGGATGGTTGACATCCGCTGGGAGGGTCGCGGCGAGACACAGGGCGCAGGCACCCGACCGGCGCAGGCGGGGACTGGGGCTGGGGACACTGAGGGCAGAAGGTGCATGCACCCGACTGGCGCGGGCAGAAACTGAGACTGGGAGGGCAGAGGGGAGAAGGCACGCCGCACCTGGGTAGAGTGTGCCCGACAAGCTCCTGGCTGCCTGAGCCGCTCGGATGGGGAAGGCACAAAAAGCAGGCTCAGCTTTTTGTTCCGTGCTTTTGTGGACACCCAAGGGCTGGAACCGCACGCAATGCAGAGCGCGCTCCATATAGAGCAGCCGGGAGCCTGAGCAGCATAGATGGGGAAAACAGTGCCGGCCCCTCCCCACAGCGCGACGGAACTAGCAACCTGAATAAGAGACCACCTCCGCCCGCCTGTGTCAGGGC